TAACTTTCAACGTTTTTCCCCCACCCCCGGAATTAGATTAATTACTTGCAATCTTACTGAATTGGTTAAAAACAAATTCAGAGTCCAATATGTGCAGTCAAATCCACCACATATTAATACTCCCCAGTTTTTCCTCTTTTGGCTTTATCTAAACTTTCACTGTATGTCATGTTGCCAGCTTAAGAGGGTAAGTAATAGGTTTAGAAATCAACTTTCCATGAAATCTTAAATGGTAAAGAGTGTGTAAAGTAGATCTTAATAAAATATTCAATCTGGATAATTACAACAGCACAATGTACTTATCTGCTCTGGCATCATTAAAAGTTAAATTTGAAGAGCTGGGGAGGGCATGGCTCAAGTGGTAGAAGCCTGCCTGGGAAGCAAAAGGCCCTGTCCCCCCAAAAGAAAAAAATAAATTTGAAAGAATGTGATTAAAATCCAATTATTGACAGTTATGAAAAAAACTACACTTTCATATTTTATTGGTAGGAATATAAACTGGCTAAATCTTTCTGGATAGAAACCTTAGGAGTAATCACTTTGATTCCTTAATTACAGGACATACCATAAGCAATTCAGTACAATATTTAGGAGTCTGGTCCTGGAATTCTAAAGCCTGGGTCTGAATCTTTCTTCTACTACTTCAATAATAAATCTTCTCCACAAAATGGGGGAAAATACCTTCTAAGAGTAACTGGGAGGATTAATGGAGTTAATGGACACATAGATTCCTACAGAGCACATAAGAGCTAAATAAATGTAACTTATTTTATAGAAGACTTCCTTATAAATGTTAGTAACAGCTGGCTTTTATTAAAAATCAGAAACTTACAGTGGAAATGGAATAAGTAAATGATGGCACACCCATTTAATGCAGTAATATTCATTCAAAACTATTATATACAACAGTCCTCCCTTATCTACACCTTTACTTTCTGCAGGTTCAGTTGCCTGTGGTCAACTGTGGTCTGAAAGTATTAAATGGAAAATTCTTATCAATTGTTACTCATCAGTTTGGGTTGTTTGCTTCTTTTGCCTGATTAAACAATCAGTGTTAGGCAAGCACTCTAGCATGGAACTCAGTTCATAAGTTTTAAATTGCATGGTATTTGTGACAAGGTCTATACTGTCCTGCTCCATCCCACTTGTGACAGGAATCATCCCTTTGCCCAGCATATTCCTGCTGTATATGCTACCTACTCATTAGTCACTCGTAGCCATAATCAGTGCTTGTGTTCAAATAATCCTTCCTTTACTTAATAATGGCTCCTAAAATGTGAAACCAGTGATTGTGGCAACTTAATTACAGAATATTATTATAAGTGTTCTATTTTATTATTAATTAGTATTACCAGTCTCTTACTATGCCTTGTTTATAAATTACATTTACCATAAGTATGAATCTACAGGAAAAAGCATGGTATATATAGGATTAGGTACTATCCAAGTACCCAAGGTTTCAGGCATGCACTAGGAGTCTTAGAATGTATCTTCCCTAGATGCAGGGGGACTGTGAATACATTAAAAGATGTTCAATTTCCACGATGATCAAAGAAACAGAAGTTAAAATTAGAGTGACTGTTTATTAGTCAATAATTTAAAAGGCATTGACTGATAACAACCAACATTGGTGAGGCGTGGGACCTAAGAAAGGGCACTCTTATACACTATGGCTGCTAAGGATATAAATCACCACCATATTTTCAAAGTAATCTGTCAACATCCTTCTAATTGGGTACCATGGACCCAATAATTCTACTTAAATTATACTTCCAATGATATTTTAATAAGTAATCAAAGAAAAAGGCATAGGAGCAATAGAAGCAGCATTATCAGTAACAGAAAAAGCTAGAAATAACTTGTATTCGTCATTCTTTTTTGTATTTTCCAGAATATTATTCAATCACTAAAAGAATTAGAAAGTTATAGAAACTAATACAGATGAAAAGTAAAAAAATATTATATTTATATGGAAATTCCCAATTTTTGGAAAGTAAAGGATAAAATTTCTATATATACTCTACATACATGCACACAAAAAGGTTTGGAAGGACACAGAAACTGTTCTCAGCAAAACTGTTCAGTGAAAGATGGCAATAAGAACAAGAACTTTCACTCTCTGTTCCATACAGCTACAATTTGCACACATTGTTTCTTAAATTTAAGATGGCAACAAAAGAACAAATAAAAAGAAGACAATTAAAGATCAATCACACTATAAGACTATTAGAAAGTCTTGGCTTTTACCAAGAATGAGATGGGAAGCTATTAGGGTTTTTAGCAAAGCAGTGAGATGATCTGACTCACATTTTAAAAGGATCATTCTTGCTGCTATGTGAAGAATAGGCTTTAGAGAGTTGAAGAAGTGATCAGTTAGATCCCGAGCTGGCAAACTATGGCCTGCATTTGGCCCAAGGCCTGTTTTATACACCTGAGCTAAGAAAGCTTTTTTTTTAATGACATATAAATATACATGTTCATAGGATACAGTGTGAAAATTCAGTATGTGTATACAAAGCGTAATGACTAAGAATGGTTTTCACACTTTAAACAGTTAGGCTGGCCTTGAACTGTGATCCTAATAATCTACACTTCCCAAACAGCTGGGATTACAGGCATGTATCGCCATGTCTGCCACTTAATGAGTTATCTTTTTAAATAAACCTGAATATAGCTGGATGCTGGTGGCTCACTCCTGTAATCCCAGCTACTAGGGAGGCTGAGATTGGGAGGTTCAAGGCCAACCTGGGCGAAAGTTCAAGAGATCCTATCTCAACCAACAGCTGGGCACATGTGTCTGTCATCCCAAATTACATAGGAGACTGAGATTGGGAGAATCATGGTTCCAGACTAGCCTGGGCAAAAAGTTTGTGAGACCCCATCTTGAAGGAAAAAAGATAGATGTAGTGGCACATACCTGTCATCCCAGTGACATGCAGGAAGCATAAGAGGACCATGGTCCATGCTAGCCAGGCCAAAAAAAAAATGAGGCCCTATTTCTGAAATAACTACAGCAAAGGGGGTTGAACTTTGAATCCTTCTGCCTCTGCCTCCCAAGTACTGGGATCACAGGTGTGTGCTACCACATTGGGCCTATTATCTAGCTCAAGCCTGCCTAACTCCTGAGTCAGGAGACTACTGGAATAATCCTGTTAAGAGATTATTAATGCTTTGGATCAGGATTGTGGCAATGGAGTATTTAAGAGGTCAAGTAGAAGATATGTTTTTGTTTTGTTTTATATTTGAGGTACTGGAGGATTGAACTCAGGGCCTCACTCTTACTAGGCACATGCTCTACCACTTGAGCCAGGTCCCTAGTCCTTTTGCTTTTAGTTTGTTTTTCAGATAGGAGCTCACACTAACTTTGCCCAGCCTCTGGCCTTGATCCTTGATCTTCTTGTCTCCACCTCACAAACAGCTAGGATTATAGGCATGCTGTACTATATTCAGCCTTCAAGATATGTTTTGAAATTAGAGTCAACAGAGTGTACAGACAAACTGACAGGCTGAATGAAGTAGAAAAGAAAGGTTAATAGTTCTCCAAGAACTTTTACTCTTAGCTACTGTGAAAGTGGAATTTCCATTTATTAGGTAAGAAAGAAAGATTGTGAGGATAAGGTTTAGAAGGGCAGGGATGACAAATTAGAAAGGTACAGTTAGACATATAAATTTAGAAGTCACCCACACATAAAGTATATATTTGAATAATTAGATCACCAAGGGAGTGAGTTTAGACAGTGAAGATGAATGCACTGGGGACTGAGCCCTGGAGCAGTCCACTGCATATGAGTTTGGAAAATGGTAAGGGATCAAGAAAAGCAGAAAAGGGATGACTGGTGAGGTAGGAAAGGGATGACTGGTGAGGAGGTGTTTTTCCTCCCAGAAAAACAAGTGAATAAGAAGGGACTACACCTCTCTTCCTGCTACTATTTGTAGAAGGAAAAAATTGTCTATATCAGAACGTAAAAAAACTGAGATAGAGAACTGATCACTGGATTCATAACAAGAGAAATCTTGGTGGAATAAGGAAGACAAAGGTTTGACTAAAAAAAGTCAAAGTGAAGAATGGGGCCAGGGGCTGGTGGCTCACACCTATAATCCTAACTATTCAGGAGGCAGAGATCAGGAAGATCATGATTTGAGGGCATTCCAGGCAAAAGGTGAGACCCTATCTCAAAGATACACAACACAAAAAAGGGCTGGAAGAGTTGCTCAAGTGGTACAGCCCTTGCCTAGCAAGCATGAGGCTCTGACTTGAAACCCCAACACTGCCAAAAAAATAAATAAATAAAGAAGGGCACAGAATATACTCTTTTGAATAGTTTTATTGTAAAGTACAATGAAATGGGTCAATGGAAAGGAGGCAAATATGGGACCAAAACCTTCTGTAAAGATGGGAGAATTTCTAACATGCTTTTTGCAATGCTGAAGAAAATAATACAGACGAGAAGGAAAGACTGATGATTCACAAACAAGTAGTTACAATAGCCAAAGCCACGTCCTCAAAGCTGTGTATGCTGTGGGTCTAGTACATAAATAGGGGTAAGGGCAGCCATGATTAGTACACTGCTTTCTCAATAAGAGGAAAAGTTTGTAATTTAAAAAAAAAAGTTATGGCTAGGTACAGTAGCCTGTAATCCCAGCTATTTGGGAGACTGTAGGTAAGATGATTGCAGTACAAGGCTGAACCCAGGAAAAATGTGAGCCCCTACCCAAAAAATAAGTTAAAAAGGTCTGAGGGTGTGGTCCAGTGGTAGAGGACCTGCCCAGCAAGCTGGAAGCCCTGAGATCAAACTCCAGTTTGAAAAAAAACAAAAAGACTTTTTGCAGTTTCTTGAGAAAGTATCACTGAGGTACTTTCTAAAAAGTAAAATATCTACTATCTTTAAAAATACATTTTCCAATTCTATAATTATGTTATACTATTTTCAAGAAAATCTATTCAAAATTTTGCTCTTCTCGTCAGTGGCTAATTTTATCAGTGCAAAAGAATCACTTACCATACTATTATTGAGATTCTTGTCAACTTTGCAGAACGTGTGTGGTGGACTTTCTCCTTTACTGGGTATAATAATACATATGTCTGTGACAGCCAGTGTATTCTGAGTCATATTTTCAGAGGCTCTTCGGTAAGTGATGTAAATCCTTTGTGATGAGGTACTGCCACTAATATTTGCAGGGCGCCCATAGGGAGTACTTTGAATAATTTCACAGCCCTGTTTTAATCTTTCTTTCCAGTCATATAAAACCCTAAAATGTAAATTAAAAAAAATAAGTACACAAATATGGAAAGTACTCTCAAATCTGAAAGGTAACTAAAATTCTCAGTCATCGTGAACTCATACTAAAATGTAGAAATATGGTAACAATATTAGAATATTAGAATATAGATATGACTTATTTTAAGTTTGAATTGCACAGTTCTGTCTTAAAGGATAACTGTTTTTCCTACTTAATAATGTAAGAAAAAATTCAGATAAACATTTCTCTTTATCAACACAGACCAGAGAATGGCAACAACTAAGTACAAGGACACTTGTATAGCACCTCATTTAAGTTAGGTAGTTAGTTAGTTAGTTCTCTAAAACCAAGTGTCTTCCCTGGAAAAAGATAACTTGTATTATGGCCAAAGTTAAAATTTTATAAAACGTTATGTGCCCAGATGGTTAGAACCTTCTTACACACTTTTATCTCCAACACTACCCTCAGTTTTAAGATTAAGTTTCAGTCTAAAAGAAGATAACCTCAAATTTATTTTTTAAATTTTTATTTTTTTATTATTCATATGTGCATCAATGCTTGGGTCATTTCTCCCCCCTGCCCCCACCCCCTCTCTTACCACCCACACCACCCCCTACCTCTCCCCCCACCCCCTTGATACACAGCAGAAACTATTTTGCCCTTATCTCTAATTTTGTTGAAGAGAGAGTATAAGCAATATTAGGAAGGAACAAGGGTTTTTGCTGGTTGAGATAAGGATAGCTACACAGGGAGTTGACTCACATTGATTTCCTGTGTATGTGTGTTACCTTCTAGGCTAATTCCTTTTGATCTAACCTTTTCTCTAGTTCCTGCTCCCCTTTTCCTATTGGCCTCAGTTGCTTTTAAGGTATCTGCTTTAGTTTCTCTGCGTTGAGGGCAACAAATGCTAGCTAATCAAATTTATTTTTAATTAAAAGACTGTGTGGAGTCAGGTGCCTGTAATCCTAGGTACTCAAGAGACAGAGATCAGAAGGGTCGTGGTTCGAAGCCAGCCTGGGCAAGAAAGTTCATGAGAACCTATCTCAAAAAAATCCTCCACCAAAAAAAGAAAAAAAAGAGGCTGGTGAAGTGGCTCAAGTTCAAACCCAAGTGGCTTGAGTTCAAACCCAAGTACCACAAAAAAAAAAAAAAAAAAAGTCTGTGTGGTGTGTAAGGACTGGTTATAGCTCAGTGGTAGAGAGCTTAACCTAGTATACCCCGGGTTTGATCAAAATAAAAGTCTGTGAAAGGCTAAGGTTTTTTTTCTCCTTTATTGTGGAAACACAGACTTTTAATAAAGGGCAGGCCCAGCATTCATTTCTTAACTCTTCTAAATACTTACAGTACTTGTATCAAGGAAATGTCATATTTAAATAATATTAGTTTAAAAATAATATTAGTTTATTCCCTGATATAATTCACTGATTTGTATTTTAATGCTAAATCCTTAGCATTAATCAAAAAAACTTCAAAGCTCTGTATTTCTGTATTTCATATAAAAATTACTATAAAAACAATGTCTTTAACATTAGCCAATAATCCCTTATACAAAATCTCTTTATACAAAATTTAGTTCCAGGAATTGGTTAAATTATTTCTTTCTACTACAATTAATTATGTCCTTCTAATTAATTGATATAATTTTCCTTTATCCTGGCTGTTAACAATATTTTATTGAAATTTCAGAGCTAAATTTTATAATCACAACAACTGCGTTAACCGGAATATTGGTTTAAGAGCTTAGTCTTGTTTTGGATTTTGTTTTTCTGATTTTTTTTAAAGCTAAAAAGACAGGCTCCTTAAACACAGAGAAGTTAGACACAACCTAATTCAAATTCGTACTGCTTCTTTCTAGCAACTTTACTTCTGTCTGAACTTTATACTACTTAGCTATAAAATCAAAACCTGTTAGCTTCAGAGGATACCATAAAGAAAGTGGAAAGTTACCACAGAGTAGAAGAAAATATTTGCAAATCATGTAAGTAATAAGGGACTGTATGTAGAATATGTAAAGAACAATAAAAAGATAATCCACTTAAAAATGGATAAAGGATCTTAAAAGACATTTCTCTAAGACACACAGACTTGCCAAAGAACACATGACAATTTTGATGCTCAGCTGTTGGAGTGGCTCAAGCAGCAAGATTGCCTTCCTAGCAAGCTTGAGGGCCTGAGTTCAAACCCCATGCCAACCAAAAAAAAAAAAAATTGTTTTAATGTTCCACATCATTAGCCATCAGATTTATGCAAATCAAAACCACCGTAAGATGTGACATTTCACACCCACCAGGACGGCTGTAATAAATGTGACAATGTGAAGTGTTAAGGGGATGTGGAGAAAACAGAACTTTTCATACACTACTGGTAGGAATGCACAATGGTGGGCTGCTTTGGAAAACATTCCTCAAAAGGCTGAACAGAACAAATAAACCTGTTCTAAGGAGGGGGTGGGAAGGGAGAATGATGGAGGGGTAAATCTAAGTAAGACACTTGTAAATACATATGCAAACGTCACAATGAAACCCTCCCCCATACAACTAATATATGCTAATAAAAATGTTAACAAAAAAAGGTAAACACAGAATTACAAATGACCAAGCAATTTCACTCCTAGATATACACAAAACAAAAATGAAAACATGTGTCTACATAAAAACTTGCATATGAATATTCATAGCATATTATTCATGGAATTCCCAAACTGAAAACATCCCAAATGGCCATTGACTGATGAACGAATAAATTATGTATAGCTGTAAGGTAGAACACTATTTAGCCATATAAGGAATAAAGTACTGACATACACAACCACATGGATAAACCTTAAAAACAAGTCATAAAAGTCAGATACAGTATAATTCCATTTACAAGGAATGTCCTGAATACACAAATATACAGAGACAGAAAGAAAACTATGCTTGCCTAGGACTAAGGGGATTAGCGGAATTCAGCACAACCACTAACGAGAATAGGATTTCTTGTTGGCATGATAAAAATGTCCTAAAATATACTGTGGTGATGGTTGTATAACTCTGAATATACTAAAATCCACTCAATTATATACTTCAAATAGGTAAATTGTATGGCTGGTAATTATACCTCAATGAAGTTTAATATAGTATCCTAAGTAAAGCTCTAATCTACCCCAAGTTCCTTATTTGATACACAGTTAAGCATCTGGCTATAATCATTATAACATGCTTAAAACCCATACTTTCCTGAATTTAAAAATAATTAAAGCCAGGCACAGCAGCTTGCACCTGTAGTCCCACATTCAGAGGCTGAGTAGGAAGATCGCTGGAGCCCAACAGTTTGAGACCAGCCAGGGAAATGTAGTGAAGATCCTGTCTCAAAAAAAGATTTTTTTTAAGCTTCTAATCAGGATAATACACTAATTTGCTGGTACTTTTCTGTAAATGTTTTTCAAATTCTCTTCCCAACATGTATTAGAAAGATGAGAGTGCTGGGAACCTGCAGGACAAAGAGAGACAAAGGGCAAGCACTCTACCATATGAGTCATGCCTCCAGCTCTTTTTGCTTTAATTTTCAGATAGGGTCTGAGCTTTTTACCTGGCCAGCCTCAGACCCTGATCCTCCTACCTTCTCCTTTTGCCAAGCTGGGATTACAGATGTCTACCACCACACCTATCTTTTTAAAGATAGGATCTAGCTAACTTTCACTGGCTGTCCTCAAACATGACCTTTACATCTCCATCTTCCAAGTAGCTTGGATTGCAGATGACAGCCACAGTGCCTGGCTACAGTATCTCTATTAATGAACAAATGAACAGTTAACTTCAAAATCTACAAGGCATATTGTTTGGATCAATAGCAATTCATTCATTTTAAAAAATACTTACCCCAGATCTGTAAGTGGAGGTTTATCTCTTCCTCTTCGATAGCAAAGGTAAATCTGGGGCCCCACAAGACTTCCATTATTGAGATCTGCTGACAATCCAGTTGGAGTAATGTCGATACATATATAATCCCGTGGCACTTCCTCCCCAAGAGATTTGATGATAACTGAAACATCTGTGATAGGTTCTTTTGGTTTAGCTACTTTATGGCAGGCATCATTGAAGTGAATTTCTTCTTCAAGAGGCTTTGAAACATCAGTTAATCCTGCTACAACAAAGTAGTCAGCAACACGAGGCCCCTTGTCTTCAATCATCTTCCATTACAGAAGGCTACATCTAAAAGGAATATAAAAGACTGATACTGTACTATAATAAGTTGAGTGGCTGGTATACAAGAGAGCTACCTCCCTGATATTTGCACTACTATTATGTATTTTATACCTTTATAAGTAAATGCATGCCTTTTTAAAAAATGAGAGTATCTTAAGCATATTTATTTATTATAAATACATGAATTTCCAATTTTGGCAATACAGAAACCTAAGCAGACAACAACAACAAAAAATATTTAAAAATGTACAGAGTAAGCTCGGGGCTTGTGGCTCACTCCTGTAATCCTAGCTACTCAGGAGGCAGAGATGAGGATTGTGGTGTGAAGCCAGACTAGGCAAATAGTTCTCGAGACCATATCTCAAAAAACCCATCATAAAAAAGGGCTGGTGGAGTGGCTCAACATGTAGGCCTGAGTTCAAACTCCGGTACTATTAGAAAAATGTACAGAGTATCCAGGCATGGTAGTTCATGCCTATAATTCCAGCACTTAGGAGGTTAAGGGAGGAGGATAGCCAGTTCAAGGCTCATGTGGGCTACATAGCAAATTCCAGGCCAGGCTTGGCTATAGGATGAAACACTGTCTCAAAATAAATACACAAAAATTAAATGTGTAAATTAACTTGTAAGAATGTAATGGAAATTCTGAGGGCCTCAAAACACTGAGGAAACCAAAAGCCAGAATGTAGTCTATAAGCTAATATTGGGTGGGGAAATTTGCTGATCTCCTCAATAATGAAGGGGTTTGTGTTTTAAAGGCATTACAGGGATAGGAAACAAGGCCTTGGCACCACATCAGATAGGGAACTAGAAGTGAAAAACCTGCGTAAAAACAAAGGCTCTTAGAGGACTATAGTCTCAGTTAAGGAGTAGATTTAAAAAAAAAAAAATCCACTGACCAGGAATGTAGGCAAGTGTTCAGTGGTAAAGCACTTGCCTGGCATGAGGTTCTGGATTCAATCCCCAGCACCAAAAAACAAAAACCTATCTACTGACACAGGGAGATAATAAAGCCTGCCTCAATCTAACCCTGGGTTGTGCTGGATTTAGGGATTTTTGTTGTTGTCTGTTTAGGGGTTTTGTTTTGTTTTATATTTTTGGCAGTACTAGTGGATGTACTCAGAACCTTGTGCTTGTTAGGCAGGCGTTCTACCACTTAAGCCACTTAGCCAGGCCCTGGATTTAGGGTTTGAACCATCTGTATGTCTTCAAGAAACTCCAACTGAGAATTTAATACAGTGTTCTCAGATTAGGAGAAGCAAATGAAAAACACCTCCCAGCTGAAGACGAACTCCTATTCTAAAACCACAAAAACATACAAGGAAAAATCCACCATGAATGAGTCTCAGCAGGTACACTAAGAATTTCAAATAGTAAGTGTAGGGAAGAAACTGAGAGCCAGTGGCTCATGCCTGTAATCCTAGCTACTCAAGAGCCAGAAATCAGAAGGATTGTGGTTCCAAGGCAGCCAGGGCAAATAGTTCTAAAGGCCCTATCGGTGAAAATACCCATCACAAAAAAGGGCTGGCAGAGTGGTTTAAGTGGTAGAGCAACTGACTAGTAATAGTAAGCACAAGACCCTGAGCTCAAATCCCAGGATGGCCAAAAGAAATAAAAATTAACAATAATAACCTTCCCCTTTAGAATATAAAATACCTGTGGGTAAAAAAATTCTTATGTGGCATATACTTACTTATAATTGTAAACATTTTCATCATAATCCCAAAAATCACTTAATTTTCTACATGATTTTTCAGTGTTCATGCTACATTTCTTACAATGTATAGTCAGTGCTCAGATACACTATTTGCTAGAAAATGAGTCTAAAGAATTAAATGTCCCTTCCTATTTTACTTAGGTACTATGGCTCCTATGCAGCAGTTCCTTCATACATATGGGCTGCTAAGCACACATTTCTGAAAAGGACTGGCAGTAAAGAGAAGGTTCTCCAGAAAGGACTCTACTCTCAGCTGACTGCATATAATACCTGTTCCACTAAAAAGAACAGTTTTACTGAGTTTCCTTGATTCATTTAGTAAAGTAATAACAAAACAAGCCCTTTTCTTGGTGGTACTGGGGAGTATGAACTCAGGGCCTCACACTTTAGGCAGGTGCTCTAACACCTGTATATGAACATCTGGCTAAAACTTATTATTTCTTAAATTTCTCAAACTTGTTGAGGTGGAATTATTGGATCAAAAATTACATTAGCTTCTGTGTTTATGTGCTTTTGTGTGTGCATAAATTTTAAGCTCTCGATAGACATGAGGCCTTAAAAATTACTTTGGTAGAGCACTTTCATCATAATAAAGAAATTAAAATAGGCTCCTTTTTTCTAGATTTAACTTGTTATTTAAAGTAAATCATATCATTATATACATACAATAGTTTTATGTGTTGCTAAGCAAAAAGAAAAAGAACGGATAGAGTACTATCAGAAAAACAAATATATTTAATACATTTTCTTGAAAACTAACACCTTGGCCTTGGAAATAAATAACTATAATGCTGATTAACAAATGCTTGGAAGAAATCTGTATGGAAAAATTCCCTTCTGATTAGATCATCTTGTTTCACAAATTTTATTAATTTTATCTCATCCACAATTGAATACAGTAAATAACTAGTAGAAGGGAATAAGGTGTCGTTCTTTACCAATAAATATTAAAAAAAAGAAAAATCCATTTTAAAATGGCAATAAAATCCTCTTACATTTATTGGCAAAAAAGTAAAATTATGCACCATTCCGCTTCACTTGCCTTGCTGTTGCTGTCGTCTATTTATTCGTTGGCAACGGTAGGTGATTAGGAGGTACACAAAATATCTTACTGGACAGTTGACAAAGCATGCTGGTAACATTCCAGATGACATCTTAAAAGACCTATAGGCTCTTTAATTCATTCAGGAAGAGTTTATAATACTGAAAACACACCTCTACTTGAAAAAAATTCTTTTGAAATGGAGTCTTGCTATGTTGCCCATGTTGGCCCTGAGCTCCTGGGCTAAAGTGATCTTCAGCCTCCCAAGTAGCAAGGACTACAGGTATGCACTATGTCCAGCTTTGCTTTTAATTTAAACCAAGGGGTTTTAAAGTATGTTTGGGATTTACAAAATAGGAGGTCAATGTGTTGGTGACGAGTCACTGTAAGTTACTTGGAAAGAGCACTTGAGGGAAGAAGTTCTAGTCACATGCAAAACCTGAACTTTTAATGCTGTACATGAGAACAAAAACTTTAACACAGTTAGGTAAATCTCTTTAAATTCATTTTTGGAAACTGGGAATCAGAAAAAAACATGCATCTGATTCAAAGTTTCCCTAACTAGCTAAAAGTAATATAAAACCCTGAAATAACTTTACTCAAGCTAAAGTAACATTACTTCTACATTAACCAATGGTTATTTTTAATTCTTCTTTGTTCAACATGCCATTGATAACTGAAAGAATTCACTCATAAGATAAAATGTTTATAGGCATCTTAAGTTCTCACCTACCTGCTGAGCTAGTATTTCACTTTAAGTGTCACCTATTTTCCTTGAAAACAGAAAGCAAGATGGATGTGCTCACTATTCCTAAAGGGCACAAGAGAACTAAGGTGGAAAGTTATTACAAGAAGGCTCTTACACATTTAGCAACTAATGGAAACTGGTTTTCCTCCCTTTCAATGTCTGCCAAATCAATTCAAAATCTTTTATTTGTTATCTCACTCCATTGGTTAAAGTAGTTATGCATTTGCTACTTATGCCACCTCTATGGACAAGAAGAGGCATGAGTAAATATCAAAGGAAACATTTTAAAAATGTGTAAAACATGAAAAGATTTTTTTTTTTTTGGTTTGGTGGTACTGGAGTTTAAATTCAGGGATTTCCACTTGCTAGACACGTGTTCTACCACTAAAGACACAATTCCAACCCTTTGCTTTATTTTTCAGGTAGGGTCTCACTATGTTGCCCAACTCAGCTTAAGACGATGATCCTCCTATGTATGGTCTCCCACCTCCCACACAGCTGAGACAACAGGCACACAACAACACGCTCAGCTTATAGATTAAGATGGAGTCTCACTAATTTTTTTGCACAGGCTAGCCCTCCAACTGTGACTTTTCCCATCTGTACCTCCTGAGTAGCTGGGACCAGAGGTGTGAGCCACCATGCTCAGCAAAACGTTTTGAAAATAAAAAGTTCTATAAAATGATCAACTACTAGGGAGTACTGGGCATGGTGGTACACATCTATAATCCCAGCACTCATGAGAATTGCAAGTTCAAGGACAACCTGGGCATATAGAAAGACCCTACCTCAAAAACATACCTGACAGTCACAAACTCAGATTTAACATAAGAAAATGGCCAATAGCATAGAACCAGTTCAAACCCCACCCCAAGAGTTCACTTTACAAACTAGAAGAAATTTTATGGCTTTTTAACATAATTCTATAGTTATTCTAGCTCACTTTTTCTTACATTTTCAAAACTAAACAGGAGACTCATCTTATCCTAACTCCATCTTTCTTCCAATGCAGGTAATCTAATCAACTCTCCTTCAAATTCATTCACTCTTCTTCTCTTTGAACACATACTATTTCCACTTTCTCATTAATATATGTTCACCATATTTTTCAAAACAATTGAAGTTTATAGACTTTCATTTAAATTTTATGAATTTTTCAAGGTAGCCAAGAGGAAAAGAAAATCAACAATCTCATTGACAATAATAAACTGGGTTTGTATTTCAGAAAACACAGTTACAGAGAAAATAAATATTTAGATTCTTTTAATTTAATGAGAATTTTCCAAATTGCTATAACCCTTATAATTCTATTAAATAACTAGATAATACTACATCAAATGGAAGTATACATTATAACCAGCACGCCATTTTTCCATTCCCAGGTAGTACCCAAAGTATCGTAGGTAGTTAGGTACTTTAAAAAAATTTGTTAAATGAATGTGTACTTTACAGTTTTTTTTTTCAAGCATAGTACACTAAACACAATGTCTTTTCTTCTGCAATTCAGAATGATTTTTTTGAACCTCAAATGCCATAGTTGTAGACATTGGATAAGTTAGAGGATTTGAGTCTAGTAACAATAACCACCATGATCAGGGCCCTGGGCAAAATTAGAGATTTTTGGAATAAGTGATTTATTCACTCATTCAATGAACTGTTAATATTTATTGAGATCTGATATTATTCTATGATATTCTGATATTATTCTATTGAGATCTGATATTCTATTGTTCTATGACGACAAAGATGTCTACAAGTTTCTCATTTAGTTCTACCTTTCCATACTTTTATTCCATGTCTATCATCTTTTCTATCATCCTTCCAAATCCCAAGTGCTTATCCTCACCATGCCCCAAGTTTCCCTATCAGTTTCTTCCCAAGAGCCCCAAACAGAGAAGTTACCACTACTTTGTTTTCTCTTTCTCCACCTCCTTGAAAACTGGCAAGTCCTTCAGCATCAGTACCCCATGAAGATTATTGTTTGTTTATTTTTATTTTATTTTTTGAGTCAGGGTCTCACTAAGTAGTCCAGGCTGGCCTCCAACTCTCAATCCTGCCTCTACCCTGAAAGTGGCTGGAATTAGATGCATGTATCACCATGTGCAGGTTCCATGAAGATTTTTAAAGGAAAGATAACTTATTTGCACATTATATTTAACAGTACCCTGACATTTTTTAAGGCTAATCCAGGGCTGGGGATGTAATAGCTCAGTGATAGAGCATTTGCCTAGCACTTGCAAGGCCCTGGGTTTGCTCCTCAGCAACCACAAACACAAGGTAATCCACAAAAGACAAAGTTGATTCTTTAAAAGTAAGCTTTATAACCCAAATTGATGGACCATGTGGAGGAGATAACTTGTCCCCTAAATCTACTTTGGAACAACCCTCCCATAGTTATCCCCAAGCAAAAAAACAATAAAAAAACAAAACATAAAAACAAAAAAGAAAAAAATCAAAACATTTATGCATAATTTTACAGTTCTTTTGAAACACTACTAAACCTTGATTTATAAAAAATGATAGGAATAACTGACATTAGGAGGGAAAGGATCTTATTATTAGTCATACTATGACATTCATTTTATAACCAAAGACGCTGTGCACAGAAGGTGCTTTACTGTAGGACTCCTTACTAGTTGTCAGAGGCTATGCAAGAAGTTAGTCCAGTATTCCTTTTTTCTTTATTTTTATATATACATATATAGTCCTTTTGCTTTTTATTTTCCAGTAGAGTCTTGCACTAACTTTGCCTGGGCTGGCCTCAAAGTACAATTCAACTACCTCCACTTCCCAAGAAGTTGTCCAATATTCTTGACACTGAGGATTTTGCCTCTAATAAATAGTACTTAATTCTGACTCAAGAGACCTTTTTTTTTTTAGATAGGGTCTCACCATGTATCCAAGGCTGGCATTGAACTTGCAATCCTCCAGCCTCATCTTCCCATGTGCTGGGATTACAGGTATGAACCTCCATTCCCAGTTCTAAGAGTCATTTTAAGACATCTTTCAAATAAATTATTTTCTGTTATTTGTTATTAATAATTATTACACAGTGAATATATACCAAATTTTTAAGAGTTCTGAAAAATTAAGGTCTCCCTGTGTTTAATAAAAAGAAAAACCTCCAACTAATTGAAAAAAATCACAATGAAAAATAAAAACTACTTACACATTACTGAAGGTTTCTGTCTGAAATTAATACCAGATCTCAATCTGTGAATTCTGCAGGCCTCAGAATTTGAGAAATACTGTACTGAAAAGAGTAAGAATTGTGTTTAAATTAATTCCAATCAAATACTTCCCCCTAATATACCTGTGGATACTTAAAAGTTCTGTTAACAATAATTTTTAAACAAATTTTATTATACATTACTTTCATTTGGATAAGAGCCAGTAAGAAATATTGGAAGATCTGGTACTCTTCCAAAAAACACATTTCAGTGAAGAATACATTACTTTTTAAAAATCAGGTAAGGAAAAGTACGACAGAAAAAAAATCAAAAGAATAAGAAAAGGCACAAAAAAGTAAATGTGTATAGAAGCAAGGAGCACGAGAAGTTTTTTAAATGCCTATTCCTGAGGCATTTATGTATAATGCCTCATTTCTAAAGGAAAAAATACTCATTTAAGACAACTCAAATGTAGACTCAAGAAGCTTCCATATAAATAACATGTTTCTAAGAAGTCAATGCCCAAAAGTACTTTCTCTTTATTATAAACTTTAAGGACGAGGGCTAGGGGTGTGGCTCAAGTGGTAGAGCACTTGCCTAGATCCTAGCTTCAAATACTAGTACCCCCCCTCCCCCTCCCCGCCAAAAAGACTATTTAAACAGCATCAGAGGAGGTGTGGCTCAAGTAGCAAAGCTCTAAGTTCAAACTCCACTCCCACCAAATAAAAAACAACCCAGAATCAGTTATATTTAATCCTTAATGGATACTATAGAGATCTCATGAAAGAACCAAAGTGCAGGCATGAAAATGACCCATGTTATATTATGAGATTCAATGTCATTATCACATTTTTCTTTAAATATTCTTTTAAGTTAATAAGGTGCAGTTAGAAGTAATTCTAAACACCACATGGAAAGATGGTGCCACCGATAAGGACTTAAGAGCACAGTCAGACCAACTGTGTTATGCCAATTCACTGTAGGTTAGCTTCCTACTCCTGATATACCCACATAACGAAATAAGTTTCAGCAAATAAAAGCTTTTACAGGAAAACAAGTTGTAGTGCAGGGATCACAAACACACCAAGAGCCAGAAACCATAGCTTTAACCAACCTGGAATATCTACTAATAAAACAGCAGCACCAAAAGGCAGGAGCAAGATTTACCTAATTTGGTTGGCCCTGGATACATATGTGTCTGAGAGAAGCAAGAGAGAAAGAGGGAAAGGGTCTAAATTATTTCAGTCAATAAATGTATTGATAAAATGTATTGAAATGGAAGGTGAAAATAATGAATGAGAAATAATGTAAGCATAATCTTCTCAATTTTTGGACTGCTAAAAATGGCCAGAAAAGTATGTCTTCCAGGATCAGGTATGAGATTACAGATTACATTTCTGTAATCTCAGCTACTTGGGAGGCAGAAATCAGGAGAATAATAGTTTGAGGGCATCCCAGGGGTGGGGGGGGAAAGGAGAGACACCCCCCACCTCAACCAGTAAGCCAAGTGTGGTATCTCATACCTGTAATCCCAGCTACATAGGAGAAGAATCACTATTCAGGCAGCTGGGCAAAAAAAAAAAAAAAACAAAAAACCACAAGAACTTTATCTGAAAAATAACTAAAGGAAAAAAGGTTGGGGCATGGCTGAAGTGATATAGCCCTGCCTAGAAAGCAAGAGGCCCTGAGTTCACACACCACTATGCAAAAAATGACAACAACAAAGTAGTTTCACTGAACAAATATGGAGGGGCATATGTTTTTTAGGTATTTCTAAAATCTTATTACTGACAGGTAAAAAAGAGAAAATATAGTGACCTGGTAAAATATTTCTTAAAATTCAACATGAGTATCAGATTTTCTAGCTAAAATAGTCTATGGATATGGAAGTTCCTCCAAATTTTGAAAGTAGGTTACTGTACTGCTAAACTATCAGGCTTGTTTAGATTCAAGTATCAATGATGAATATGCAACAACCAATTCCAAATATATTTTCTGCTATTTTGAGTTTCTTAACACAGTAAGAATATTGTTTTGACCATGACCTTATGTTCCACTAAACTTAGTATTTGTATTATTAATCAAATAACGTTGAACTTTTTTAGAGTTTATAGTCACATTCATAATAACAAATGTTTCCTTTGACAGAATGAACTTCCAAAAACTTTCCTCTGATTCCGTTAATTGTATGAAAAAAACCAAACCATTATCAGAATGGGGTGAATTTTTATTTGACAGAGAACCTGAGGTTGATACGAATGACATCACTTCAAGTGTTCACAAGCTTGTTCTGCTAATGGACAAACTGCCAAAGCTACTGCTGTGCTTTCCAGACATGTGGAAGAACACAAGCTGCAGAAACCAGTAAAACCTATCTACTAGAGCATCCTTTCATTGTAAAGGGAGCCAATGTCCACAGCATGATACACCAACGTGCTTTCCACTGCTGAGTGTGTTAAACCATTATCTTCAGCACAGATTTCTTTCAATTGCTATTAATTATAATGAAACTTTTACTTTTGAGATAACCATAAGTGCACAATCAGTTGAAAGAAACAGTAGAGACCTGGTAAACCTTTTACCTAGTTTCTCCCAGTGATAACATCTTGCAAAACTGTAATACAGTATCAGTTGGGATAGTGACAATGGTACGATTAACAGTCTTATTCTAAGTTCCCTTGTTTTACTTATACTCATCGGGTATGTGTGTTTATATATATTTAGTTCTACGTAGATTTATTTCATGTTACTGTCCCTAACCCCTATGGAGTGGTATATTTTTATCTATGAAAAGGAAAGATGTTTCCCAAAATAGCAACTCCTTAAAAAGGGGTTGTGTGTGTATGCGCGCACGTGTGCACATGCGCAAAAATAACCAAAGTGGAAAGACTTGCTCATCACATTTATTCAGTCATCTAGAACATTACATTTGAACATGATTATACAAATTTTATGCAGACATATACATTCACACAAAAAAACAAGGAAGACTGACAGTGAACATTCAACAAATCACAATGAAGACTAGTCTACTTAATTCTGAGAAATGTTTTCCTATCACAGATAAGTTCTAGAATGGAAACAAGTGAACAACAAAAAGTAACATGACAGAACAACTACAATAGGGATTCCTAGATGTATAAAAACATAAAAAGAACTCTTATATTTTGTTCAAGGGCAACTCTGTCCCTCATGTGGAAATTAGGTAGGAGCCAAAGTAGCTACTATGGTCTTGAGAAAAAAAATGGATCTGTCTGGACAGAACAGGAAGAGACTCGAAATACAACATTAATATACAGATACCTCTTCTCTCCAGATAGACTATAAACAATTCAAAGGTTCCTATGACTTCTGTGTCTCCTCATTTCCCCATATGCATAGTAGTTATAAACACATGGTAGGTGTGTAAACGTTTATCAAATTAATAAGGTCAGAACAGTAGAAGAAAATAGGAACATAAAAATACTATGGAATCATAGGTTTTAGAACTAGGAGGGTCCAAGGAGATTTTCTTTCAATTAATCTTTTTGTAATTGAAGAAATTTTATAATTAAAATACAATAGCTTGCCTAAGACCAAATAACCCCATTTATGATTAAACTCTCATGGCTTTAATTTGGAATTCTACCATATTCAACAATGGAAGGAAAAAACCAAAATTCCTTGAGGAGACTAGTGGGTTAGTTAGTGAACGTGGGCTTTGATGGCCAAAAATGTTAATATGTAAGTAGGAGAAGTTAAACTGGTTGACAAGTGGGACAGTTAGCAGTTAAGAAGAGAACAAATAACAAAAATAAAACAAAAGCAAATAGAAAAAGAAGGAAGTTGAATAAAGAGACATAACAAGAACAGGAGTAAGAAAATAAGGGGGAAATATAAAAGAATTAAGTGAAGAATAGTACAAACATGGGAAGGAGAAAGGTGAAAAATGAGTAGAGAGGCAAGTAAAAAAGATCTTACAGAATTTTTAATGCTACATACATTTTTAAAAATAAACTAGGAGATTTACTATTATCATAGTGAAATCAGATTACCTAAAAATTAATAACAAAACCCAACACCAATCAGCACTGTTGGTATTCAGTACTAGACATAAAATGCAAATGTATAGTGCTAACTGATCAGGAATGAAAGTGAAATCTGCTTTTAAATTCCTTTTTGCACCATCTTCTTTTTCTTAATTTCTCATATACATACCACCCTCTTATCACAAACTTCTTACTTCCTCTATGAATCGTCATATGGATTTGTTAGCTGGTATCTAAGCTGTTGCCAGCAGAAGAATTTGTTTCTCTCAAAATAGTATTGGATTTTCTTCTCTAATTTTACAACTATACATGAACTACTCAAAATTGCAGATCTGCTTTGTATTGTCCAAAAAAAATTCGCAAAATTTATAATTCTCTCATTTGTTAGTGTTACTATTTCAATTTCTTAACTATTTTATGTTACCACCCATTAAATAGATTTCAAAATTTACTTATTTGTGGTGGTACAGGGGTCTGAGTTCAGGGCTCACACTTGCTAGGTAGGTACTCTACCATTTGAGCCATGACCTGAGTCATTTTTGCTTTTAGTTATTTTTCAGGTAGGATCTCACACATTTTTGCCCAGGGCCAGCCTCAGATCATACAGTCTCCCATGTAGCTGGGATGGAAGGCATGTACCTCCACAACTGGCTTACTGATTGAGTTGGTGGGGGTGCGGGGGAGATGTCTCCCTAACTTTTTTCTCGGGTTGCCCTCAAATCATGATTCTCCTGATTTCTGCTTCCTGCATAGTGGGATTACAGAAGTGAGCCATGATACCCAGCCTTCAAAAGTTATTAAAAATCCCTTTCCCTTTTTTCTCACAAACTGTTAAAAAAATGGTATCTGAAAAGGACTCTAAGAATACTTAAAAAACAACTCTGAGAATTCCTTCTATCTAATGATTGATATCATTTTTTGAATTTGTACACGTACTAGATGAGCAAAGATTATAAACAAACACTCATTCAGAGGCCAAAATACTAAAATACTTCGAAGCACCATGAGTCCTACACATAATTAAATTTTGAGGTACTACATTACATTTGACAAATGTAAATAAAAAACTAACCCAATGTTGGTGATGCTCTAAGAAAATAAGTACACTTGGCAAGTGTTAACAGCACTTTGAAGTGGAATGATTTTTCTAAAACAACCCAGTGATTACTTAAAACTGATTGTACTCTTATCAACTAATTATATTTTGGTGAAATCATCTAAAAAAGACAACTTCTTAGCTGATCTCATGGAAGCTGAAAGTAGAATAGTGGTTACCAAAGGCTAGGGAAAGGGGAAACAGGAAAAAGTTGCTCAAGAGACACTAAGTTGTAATCAGATTGGAGAAATAAGTTCTGGTGTGCTACTGTACAGTACAGTAACTGCAGATAATGGTGTATTTCAAAAAAAACCTAGAAGAAAGGATTTTTAATTTTTCATCCTAAAGGAATGACAGTTGTTTAAGGGAGGTAGATTTGAACACTGCACAATGTATAAATGTACTAAACTATCACATGATAACCCACAAATATGCATAATTTTATGTCAATTTAAAAAATAAATTTAAAAAAGACGGTCTGGGGCTCAAGTGGTACAAGGCCTGCCTAGCAAGTATAAGGCCCTGAGTACCTCAAAAACCTCAAAACCCCAGTACCTCAAAAAGTTAATTAATTTAAAAAGTTGTAGGGGAAATTTTTTAAATCAAACTATTTATCTAAAGATCATTTACAATAGTATCGCCTTGGAAACTTCATGGAATATGTCATTCTCATTCTCTCTCTAGAAATGACATGCTTTCAGTTTATTGACAGTGTATTACTTTTCTAATAAACCTTACTATCACTTTCACTATAAAAAAAAAGTCCCAAAATTTTAGGGCAGCATACACGTATAACCCCAACTACTCAGGAGGTGGAGGTAGGAGGTTTGTAGTCAGAGGCCTACAGGGGCAAAAGCATGAGACCCTACCTGAAAACAAGTAAAAGCAAAAAGAGCTGGAGATATGACTCAACTGGTAGAGTGCTTGCCTAGCAAATGCAAAGACCTGAGTTCAATCCCCAGTACCACATAAAAAACTAAACAAATAAAAAGATTCATGGTGTTAGTGTAGAATAGGACCTTGAAAATCCTCTGGTTTAACTGAGCATGGTAGTTCACCCCTGTAATCCCAGCTACTGAGGAAGTGGCAATCAGGAGGATCATGGTTCAAGGTCAGCCCAAGCAAAAAGTTAGGAAGACACCATCTCAATAAAAAGCTAAGGTTGGTGGCACAATGTCTGTCATCCTAGTTACATGGGAAGTGTGAATAGGAGGAATGATGACATCATTCCTGGCACAAACTAAAAATAACTAAAGCACAAAGGGCTCGGGGCAAGGCTTAAATGGTATAGGACCTATCTTGCAAGCATGAAGTCTTGAGTTCAAGCTCCAGTACCAATGGGGGAATAGGAGGGAGGAAGTCTTCTTGGTGAATCTCATCATTTTATTGATGAGGAAATAAAGTCTAGGAAGGCTACTTTGACTTGCCCATAGTAACACAATTCATGATCAGCAGGTTATGAAACTCCTTATCCCTGATCTTGTGCTACTACACCACATAGATTATTCCACTGAAGCCTGAAACAGTTCCAGAACAGACAAGGATAAGCAGATCCACTTAGCTGAAGGACACACTGCTTTTGCTAAACATTCTGATGATCAGAGCAGCCCTAGACAAAGAGTGCTTTCTATTCTTTAATTTCCCTTAACCTATTTTCAGCAAACCAATCTCCAGAAACTTCCCTTTCTTCTTATTCCCAAGAAAACGTATCAGTCCTGTTAAATGCTAATTACTCTCAAATTTATCTCATGCCTCACCACTGAGATCTAACGTGCCTACATGATAACTCTATCAATATATCTACTACCCAAAACAGGCTATTTCTTTGGCAGTCCTCCACCTTTAAGCCTAATACCACTTCCCTCCCATATAAATTCACTAGGAAGGGCATAAATTTGAACCTGGAATATTTGACATATTCTCTCCTTCCTTGTTTAGTTTTCCCACTTTAGCATTTTTCACTAACATACATATCTTACTTATTTTATTTATTCTCTATCTCCAGAAGACTGTAAGTTCCACGAGGGTAGTGAATTTTCTGTTGCATTCACTACTGTACAACCATCACCTAGAACATCAACTGGTGGTCAATATTTGTTGAATGGATGGATGAACAAACACAGATAGACGTAACTGAAGGGATAATTCTAAAATGTGGCAGATATGGCTAAATACCATGGAGCAGTCAGAAGCAATGAAACAGAAACACAGACAAATTCTTTAATTTAGTGATAAATGAAAAAAGTAAACAAAAGAAATCCTGAAAGGAATCTATGGCAAAACAGCATTTATATAAATTAAAAACATACATACCCCAAACCATGCTATAGTTTTCAAGGATATATTCAGGATGGTATACTGAACATGTTAAACATATTAGGATGGATACCTATGGAAGAAAAGGAATGGAAATGAAGATGAGGGGATAAGAGCATAAAATAAAATTAAAGCTGGGCCCCAAATGAGCCAATGACAGAAGAGACAATGAAATGATGAAGGTAAGAAGAATGATTCCAAAAGCAAAAACCTTGAGCAAGCAGGAGGGTCTGATCTTACAGGTAAGCCTTTATATCATGATAAAAATAAGTTACCCATAATAAACGTCTGAGTTACCAATAACCTTTATGAATATGCAGGCATTGCTAATGCAGGATCTTAACCTTCTTTGGGTCATGAACCTCCCTGAAGATCTGATTAGTGCTAGTGATCTTCTTGCCCTTAAAATACACAGATACATCTAAAACATATCTAAACAGCAGGTGTTTAGGTGAAACTTTACACACAACTTAAGAGGTTCACTTAGTTATGCTCCCCAAGCTAATACACAGACATCTGGGGGGGGGTTGTTTGTTTTTAGTTCTTGTTCTTTTTAAAATATAAAATACATCTAAAAAGAGTACAAATCCAGGAATATGCCACTATTATAAGTAACTCCCAGGTCAAGAAATAGAGTATTACTGGTATCAGAAGCCCCACCAACTTTCTCAAAGAGAACCACTATCTTGAATTCCAACAGTAGACTAGTTTTGTCTCTTCCTGAATTTTACATAACTGAAACATGGAAGGACTCACACAGGGCACATTCCTTTTGGTCTTTTTTCACTGTACAATATTCTTGAGACTTAGCATATTCATACACATATTAGCAGTTTGTTCATTTCCATTTCTGTATGGCTTTTCACTTTTACAATGACAACTTTTAAACAAACTTAAACAATTTTACTTATCCATTTCATTGTTAATATACATTTGGCATATTTCTAATGTTATGCTACTATAAGTGATTACAAAGTCATGTATAAATTTGGGCTTGGGGGGGTGTGGCTCAAGTGGTAGAGTGCCTATCTAGCAAGTGCAAGGCCCCGTGTTCAAACCCCACTACCGCAAAAACAAAAAAAAAATTATACATGTCCTTTGACACATAAATGCATGCATTTAAAAATGTCTACAACAAGTGAACTAAACAGAACTTTCTCAAAAGAAGAAATTCAAATGGCCAGAAAACACATGAAAAAATGCTCACCATCTCTAGCAATAAAGGAAATGCAAATTAAAACCACACTAAGATTCCACCTCACCCCTGTTAGAACAGCCATCATTAGCAACACCACCAACAACAGGTGTTGGCGAGGATGCGGGGAAAAAGGAACCCTCTTATACTGTTGGTGGGAATGTAAACTAGTACAACCACTCTGGAAAAAAATTTGGAGGCTACTCAAAAAGCTAAACATTGATCTACCATTTGATCCAGCAATACCACTCTTGGGGATATACCCAAAAGACTGTGACACAGGTTACTCCAGAGGCACCTGCACACCCATGTTTATTGCGGCGCTATTCACAATAGCCAAATTATGGAAACAGCCAAGATGCCCCACTACTGATGAATGGATTAAGAAAATGTGGTATCTATACACAGTGGAATTTTATGCAACCATGAAGAACGAAATGTTATCATTCGCTGGTAAATGGATGGAATTGGAGAACATCATTCTGAGTGAGGTTAGCCTGGCCCAAAAGACCAAAAATCATATGTTCTCCCTCATATGTGGACATTAGATCAAGGGCAAACACAACAATGGGATTGGACTTTGAGCACATGATAAAAGCGAGAGCACACAAGGGAGGGGTGAGGATAGGTATGACACCTAAAAAAATTAGCTAGCATTTGTTGCCCTTAACGCAGAGTAACTAAAGCAGATACCTTAAAAGTAACTGAGGCCAATGGGAGAAGGGGACCAGGAACTAAAGAAAAGGTTAGATCAAAAAGAATTAACCTAGAAGGTAACACACACGCACAGGAAATTAATGTGAGTCAACTCCCTGTATAGCTATCCTTATCTCAACCAGCAAAAACCCTTGTTCCTTTCTATTATTGCTTATACTCTCTCTACAAAATTAGAAATAAGGGCAAAATAGTTTCTGCTGGGTATTTAGAGAGTGGGGGGGGGAGAGGGAGGGGGCAGAGTGGGTGGTAAGGGAGGGGGTGGGGGCAGGGGGGAGTAATGACCCAAGCCTTGTATGCACATATGAATAATAAAATTTTTAAAAATATGGTATTTATACACAATGGAATTTTATGCAGCCATGAAGAACGAAATGTTATCATTCGCTGGTAAATGGATGGAATTGGAGAACATCATTCCGAGTGAGGTTAGCCTGGCCCAAAAGATCAAAAATCATATGTTCTCCCTCATATGTGGACATTAGATCAAGGGCAAACACAAGGGGACTGGACTTTGATCACATGATAAAGCGAGAGCACACAGGGAGGTATGAGGATAGGTAAAACACCTAAAAAACTAGATAGCATTTGTTGCCCTCAACGCAGAGAAACTAAAGCAGATACTTTAAAGCAACTTAGGCCAATAGGAGAAGGGGACCAGAAACTAGAGAAAAGGTTAGTTAGTTTGAGAAGAATTAACTTAGAAGGTAACACACATGTATAGGAAATCGATGCGAGTCAACTCCCCATATAGCTATCCTTATCTCAACTAGCAAAAACCCTTGGTCCTTCCTATTATTGTTTATACTCTCTCTTCAACAAAATTAGAGATAAGGGCAAAATAGTTTCTGCCGGGTAGTGAGAGGTAAGGGGGGGAAGGGAGGGAGCGGGGGGTGGGAGGAGGGAAGGGGGGGAGAAATGACCCAAACATTGTATGCACATTTTAAAAAAATAAAAATGTCTATGAATGCCAGTCATGGTGGCGCACGCTGGTAAATCAACGAGGCAAAGAGGATGAGGCAGGAGGATCACGAGTTTGAGGCCAGCCTGGGCTATACTTGATAAATAAATAACTAAATAAAAATGTCTATGAATGAAATTGCAGGCATATGTGGTATATGCGCGGTCAACTTTGGTAGATGTCAGTTTTTCAAAGTGCTTGTAATACAACCTTATGCTTAATGGGTAAGAGGGCTTAGAAATAAGTAAACATCTTTTCTTAATTTTTAATAAACAAAAATATTTCTCTATTGAGAAATATTGAGGTTTCTAAAAATACTGGTTTGCTGTTTCTATTTTGATTAAGTCATTGCTGAATGTAACTAAATAAAAATCATAAAAAGTAGTATAGCAAGTTATATATTATAGAATCATTTGGGTCAAATTAAAATCTTAGTTCCAACCAATACTAGACTATCAGGTAAGCAAAAACGTACACATTTTAAGAAATGGAAATTTTGCTGATTTTGCCTACCTTTTGCTTATTTTGCTGTTGATAATGATTTTGTGTGGAATTACATTATTGACCCCACAATGGTTTCGATGCTTGGTGATATAAAGGTTTAGAAACTATAAAACTTAAATCCAAGTCTCTCATTTATTTATCTGACAAATATTTATCAAATGTTTATTGAAATGGACAGGTGCTCCTTTTATTTTTTACTGTTCAGCAACTGAGCCAGCTCCCTCCCTGTATTTAGAAAATCTGATAGACATGTGTTTGGAAAGAAGCTAGACCCCAGAACCAATCACAGAAACCAAAAAACCAGATACTTGCTGTCATTACTTCGAGACCAGGCACATTGAATGGTCAATTAAATGTGCTCATATATAATCTGAATGTAGAGCTAAAGTTGCAAAGACAGTTTAAAATTCACTCTTATGGTTCTTTCTGCCATGTGATACAAGAAGTTGGCAGTCACTACCCAAAAGAGGGACCTCACTTTAACCTGACCATACTGTCCCGATCTTGGACATACTGTCCCAATCTAGCAGCAAGAACTGTGAAAAATCAATCTGTTGTTGATAAACCAAAAAATAAATAAATAAACAATCATTTTTAGGTCAGCGACATACAGCACCCAGTGTCATTATTTCAATGGCGGCATCAATGGAGTCTTCAATAGGAAAATGATACTCCTATGGCTATGGACCAGTCCTGAGATTTGTTTGTTTCCTAACTGGGTCTGCTTCTCCAATCTTCCAGTCACTTTCAAAAGCTAACCAATATCCTCCCAATAAGTTCACTGTCTTTTGCTTCAGCTAACCAGAATTTTCTGCTGTTTTCAAGAAAGATCCTAAAATGGTACCTACAGACTCTTTTGGCAATGGCAACACAAAGAAAAAAAGACATGTTTCTGCCTTATGAAAGTTTAATACACAAGTTAAGCAATACATGGGATGGAGGCATGGCTCAAGCAGTACAGCGCCTGCCTACCAAGTGCAAAGCCCTGAGTTCAAACCCCAGTACCACCAAAAAATACAAATAAATAAATAAGCAACATATAAGTAGCAAGTAACAGAAGTAATCAAAGCACAAGAAGGACATGCAATTTAGACTTGAGGAGTCTGAAAAGAGGTTTCATTTAAATCCTGCCATACAGCTGACAGTGTGGCTCAAGGGGCAGAGCACCTGCCTAGCAAGGATGAGGGCGGGAGTTCAAACCCCTGTTCTGACCAAAAAAAAAAAAGGTACATTTTAATCCTGCCATACAAGTGGGTGATAGAGGAGAGGTGGAGAGGCATTCCAAAGGAAAGGAGGAACAAACACAAAGGTGTACAGACTTTTCATTTCTCTCTTCATCTTTTCCTTCCATCACAGTATCAAAAGCACATCTGAATATACTTCAAATAAAGCAGGGGATGTATATTTCAAGTATTAAAGAGAGAAAAGCAGACTTACAGATTTATGGAAAGGCACACTGTCATAACTTGTGACAATGGGGGTATTTTTGAGCTTGTTATATGAAAATGAACTTCATATTTGAGACACATTCCTTTCACCACCACAAAGCAGGTCCCAAATACCTCCCTTCTCTCCTCACCTCAGTTACTTCTATAAATAGTCAACCTGGGCTTTGGGGGGGGGGTTTGGTTCTTTTTGGTTTATTTGGTTGGTTATTTGTGACGGTAAAGTCGGAATCATGAATGAGTGAATAAAAGAATTAAAAAGAGAAGTAAATG